GAAACTATTGGAGAAAGGAGAAGCTAGAACTGGGCAAATAGAATACTCAATGCAGCAGTTACAATTAATGTAATTTTGATTATTAAAAAAACTATTAGGCTCAGAAAAACTCCGACTTGTGCATTAGTAGTAAGAAAATGAAACTCACACAATTGCATCTTCATTAAAAGCTATTTCTCTAAGTAAAAATTACATATCACATATAAGCATAAAAATATAGCCTGAAATAGTATCAAGGTGGAGATATATACAACAAAAAGCAAAAAAATATAGGGTTTTATAAAAGGTAAGGTGACAGTGTTCTGTGTGGATAAATACACCTCTACCCCCAATATAGCGTGACCCGATATAACACGAATTCAGATATAATGCGGTAAAGCAGCTCTCCGAGGGGGGGCTGTGCACTACAGTGGATCAAAGCAAGTTCGATACAATGCGGTTTCACCTATAATGCGGTAAGATTTTTTGGCTCCCGAGGACAGCGTTATATCAGGGTAGAGGTGTACCGAAACATAGTGGGGTGAGTCTGAGTGAGTGGTTGCCATAAAGAGACACAGTCAAGTCTTATTTGGTCCATATGATTATTATTATTTTTTTTTAAAGCGTTTACATAACCTAAGACCCATTGAAACGAATCTGATTTTTTTTTTTTGTTCCAGTGGAAAACAGTTTAAAAATAAAACAAGAAATACTCCCTTGCAGTGTTTGCAATCTAAAGGTTGTAGCATTGTCCTAAAACCCTAAAGTGAAGTTGACTATAAACAGAACTGAACTTGCCACTTCGTTTTCACAGTCCAAGTTGAAAGAAGTGCAAAAAAAAATTAAATTTTAAAAATTGTCAATTATAATAACTTAGTGTCTTTTAACTACATTTTCTTTTGTCATTTTTAAAATTTCAACTCCAATTCTTCTGTATTTTGAACAAACGGAATAATTATACCATAAGATAAAATGAGAAAAGATCACAAAGGAGATTCAAATTAGCAATTAGGTGAGGGCAACCCAACCCATAGATTGGGCATTCCACTTCTTAGTCTGTTTGGTATGCTCCAGCCAAACTGGGAAGTGGAACCAGTGAATAAAGTACATATCATTAACTTCTTCTGCCTGATACACCTGTATCTAACAGATCCTGGAACACCCGGACACTGAAGAACAAGCCCCATGATTGGGGAAGGGGAGAGAAGGGGACATACCATTGGAGGAGGAGAAAAGTGGTGTTAATTCCTCTTCACAGTGATACTTCCCCATAGTTTCTATTAGGTCTATGTGATTATCCAAGTTTACTGCACACCTAGAAGCCAAAGCTGATATAAAAAATATAGCTCCAAACAGTGCTTAGAGTAGTAACTTCTAGTGGTTATGGTGACACGAGCAAACTGTCCTGGGATCCCTCTAGTGTTCCTCCTCTTTATTGTTGACCTTGGCTAGTAGGTGGGTGATACATTTTTCAGGAGGATGGATACAGCACTCAGAAGAAGTTCTGAGTTCTTGCACTACTGAAAACTTTCCTTGCATCCAAATGTTTGCCTGAACAGTATTGGCACGGATAGAAGATCTGTCTGAATCTATCATCTCAAATAAAGGAAGTGCCACAGTTTGTCTCTCTCTCCTGGAAAGATCTCCCTGGCATCAGGCTGTATTTATGAAAACTCTCTGGATGCCCACCAGTATTCAGCAAGCGTGATGGGCTACAATGTGGTTACCCATTGACATGTGTGATTGCGCAGTTGGAAGACATGTCCAAGCTAAGGTAACTTTAGCATTATCAGAATATTAAAAGGAAAATGATTTGTAGAACTGACGGATAAAGTGGTGACACTTTCCTCAGTCAAAGAAAAGTCAACTCTGTCTCCTGACATTCCCCACAGGAGGGAATAGAAATCCTATTCCAAACCCAGGCAATCCTTTACAGGCTTCCAGACCAGCAGGTTTGGCGGACAAAATAATTTCTGTTACTCCTGGGGAAAGTGGTTAGATCCAGAGATGGCAAGTCCAGGTTTGACCCATCCACCGTCTAGTGGCGCTTCAGGTCTTCCTGAACAACTCATGTCTCACTGCCACATCAAAATGGGATAGACCATTGCAATGGTGATCATCTCCTTCAGTTTGTAGATTGTTGGCCTTGAATTGCTTCCAGCAAGTGATTTCTGAAGATTGTCCAGAGAGGATCTACAAATCCATGTTTAGTTCCTTCAGAATGGTTCACAAACTTAATCTGCAGTAGGAATTCAGAGTTTATCGTTCAGAGCATGTAAGCTCATTATCAAATTTGAGACAACGAGGGAGATATCCATTTCTATGGAAGCAGTCTCAACTGGCAGGTTTTTAGGTGTAGCTGGCTGTGCTCTCTCCTATCAGTGACAGACAGGTCTGCTTCAGCCTTTGTTGCTGCATGCAGGCTAAGAGCCCATTGATTGATTAATTGGTCTGTGGACCTTGTAAATCAAAAAGAGGAAATTTTCCATAAGATAGTTTTCCTATTACAAGCAGCAGATTCTGTATGACTTATGATGTTACTATAACATGATATTGTCTAAGGGAGTTGTTTAAGAATTTAATGTACATATAGTGGCTGTCTTTTAGACATTTAAGTTGCAATTTGCAAGTGCCCCCAAAGCCCAACTAGCCATTTTAAAATATTTGGACCTAAATTGCTATTAACAATGCATTTTCATTTACTCTGTTAAGATACCAAGTGGTACTTCAATCACTCTAGAATAAATTATTGCAAAATTTTTACCTTTCAAAATAAGTCAGTGGTCTTTAGTTAAAAAAAAAAAAAAAAAAAAAAAAGTACCTCACAAACCACCCCAAACTTCATTTTGATTTACATCTTTAAAAACAAAATAAGTATCTATTATAGTAACTTAAAGAAAAAATTGCATCTGATGTTGGTCAAATGCCAGTTTTAGCCTTATGTTAATTAAAGTGACTGAAATATGAACCCTGTGAAAAACAATAGCTGAGTGTATAGTATTAAACATCTGTTTGATAACAGAATAAAAGTTTCACATTGTTTTAACCTTTCTGTCCTTTGATCCTTCAGAAATGAGTGATGTTAACCTGCTCATAGGCTAAGATTATGTTTGAAACCATTTGAGGCAAACTTTCACGTCATGTCTTGCTTTTATCTGCAATAGTGTGAAGACTTTTCCTACAGTGTTGACAGTCTTCTTGTAATGGGATTGTTAGGCAACCAATTATTGACAAACAGAAAAGGTTTGCCATGGTGATTTGTTATGTTTCAACCCTATCCCGTCCTACTGATCCTCTAGCCTTAGACCAAGCCAACCTTGCTTGAATAGTTAAAGAATTTAAATTAGATCTTATGCAGTTTACTAAAGATTCTAACCATTTTACAGAATCTGAATCACACTTGTAACTCTTTATTTCTGTAGCATAGTTTATTAAATTCTGTGTGTGGTATATACTGCTCTGTAAACCAGGGGTTTACATTAGAACGCAAGGGAAAAGAATATTCAAACCAAGGTATGGAGTTTTATGAAAACTCCTTGTTACTGGAATTCAGCTGCATTCCTGCTGCTTTATTTTAAATTGGTCCTTTTTAATGTGAAAATTAATTTCTGCATGCATCTTTTCTTTTTAAACATCCTCTGTATATAGGACAACCAAGTAATTTTTAGTAGCATGCCAAATACTTATTTAAAAATAATCTTGATTACCGCAATATCCGTTCCTCCCCTCACAATTCTTTCAAAACTTTCCTTTTTGGTCTAAAATTCTATTTTGGAAATAAAACAGGATTATTGCTGTGAATGTTAGAAATGGAGCTGTTTAAAAGCTGTTCTGTGCTTGTACCAAAACGTGAAGCTTTTCCATGTAGTCTCATGCCAGTGCTGACCCATATGGATTAAAATAGCCTGTTTTTAATCTATGACCAAATTTGGAATTAGAATATCTGCCCACTGGGAGTTTGTAAATTTTTGTAGTTTAAAGAATGACAGGTTTATATAAATAATTACAATGATTCTCATTGCATGTTTTAAATTAAAATTCACTTTTTCAACTACAGAAAAGTAATAAAAGTACCAGCAGTTTGTTCTCTAAGGAGCTTGTTTAAGTGTGTTTTATACTTGTAGTATGATAGTTTCTCAAATCGTTTCTCAAATCTTTTACATACATGCCCTTTTAATGATGATCTTTTTATATTGTTCTGTGTACAAGCAGTTCACCTTAGATGCAGAATTTCTGCATTCCAGTAGCATTTTCAGATACTTGTTTTAAATGTGAGCTTTCGCCATTTAAACTGTTTCCTTCTTAGCTTGATCCTGCAATGAAGTTGTTGTACTGTGACATTTTTCTGTTACCATGGTAATGAAAGTGAGCTCATTCAGAATACAGACTTCCATAAGATGAGCAAGACCTTGTCTTAAACGTATCTTTTAATAAGCATCAGATGTCGTAAGAACAGTTATCAGTAATTGAAATGTAAATTGATTTTTGTGTTAAATCCAGTATACTTGAAAGATTTTCTTAATATGAAAGTTCCTTTTCTTATGTTTCTAATGTTACTCCTGGGTGAATTCTGTGCACAGTCGCTTTTTAAATTCTGTAAAATTCTGCATGTTTTGTCAAAATAACACAATATAATCACGCCAGTTTCAATTATTTCAGAATACTTGTCGGTAACAATACAGACAACAGAAAAGATTGAGGAAATATATTTTGAAAAATAGATTCCTTACTGGGAATATTAATATAGAACTTTGTGTAATAGTTCATTTGAACTACAATACAGAAAGGCTGTAATTGTAGCGTGACCTCTTGCGGCTTCCCTTCTCTTCCCCATCAGAATCAATTATTCTGCAGGAGTTGGGAGGGGAATAATCTGCAGGGGACATTAATTCTGTGCTTGCAGTATTCCCCCAGGTATATAATGTGTAGCACTGTAATAACCTGTATAGAAAGATTGTGAAGGTTTTATTAATGAATTACTGTACTGTTTTAATGCTTTTATATTTTTTCTCTTTATACAGATAAAGACACAATTAATAAAATCAGAGATTTGCGCATGAAAGCTGAAGATTATGAAGTGGTGAAGGTGATTGGCAGAGGTGCATTTGGGGAAGTTCAGTTGGTAGGTTAAATTTCCATGTGTAAATAGAGTTGGATTTTGTTTTATGATAACTCAGTGCTACTTACCTTTTTTATTTTTAATAAGGTATTTTTTAAAATTAAGCTAATCTTGTAATATAGGGACCATAAACCTAGTGAGAATTTTATTCTGGGAAAGAAAGTTTTCTAGGATCCTAACTTTTAATACTCACATGCACAACATCTGAGTTCAATGTGCATTTTCCCTACCCAGAGGCTGAGTACCCTCTCTATATACTAGTCCTGGCCACTGCAACTCTAGGAATTTGTTAGACAGCTCTTCAGCTGATGTAAATTGTCATAGGCCCATTGATGTCAGTAGGCTCTGACAAATTACATCACCTGAGGAGCTGCCTCCAAAACCTGAACACAGATTTTCCACATATAGCATTTTTTGTGGGTGGTGAGTTAACAACCAGGCCTGGTCATGTTGAATTACTGAGTTGGGTAGCTGCTGGAAGAAATGTAAAATAAGACAAATGTGCTCTTCAAAATATTTTTTTCTTTTTACCTTAGTTAACAAAAATATTTACACTTTTATTAAAAACAAATAAATGCAAATTACAGATCAATTACTGTGTACATGGGCTTTTATTTTTAATATTCTTAGCAAATGTTCTATTTTGGTAGTTGTGTTGTAGTTAAAAAATGCAATTTTATACCATGTAGATCAATAGAATAATTATTTTTACCAAAGAACCGTGAAGAATTGGATAAAATCAGTGAACTAAGGTAAAATGCTCAAAGCAGAAAAAAATACTGAATTAAATATTTTAAAAGATCATCAATATGGAAAGTTAATCTATTTTTCTATATCTTAATTTTATCTTCAAAGGTAAGGCATAAATCTTCAAGGAAGGTGTACGCTATGAAACTGCTGAGCAAGTTTGAGATGATAAAAAGATCAGATTCTGCATTCTTTTGGGAAGAAAGGGACATTATGGCTTTTGCTAATAGCCCCTGGGTTGTTCAGGTATAGTGATACCACTGTTAATATTTTTGATTATGGCAGCGTGGTTTTGTTATATCACTGGATAAATCACATAGTAACTGAAGAATTATATAAATTATCATTTCTAGCATTGTTTCCTAAGCAACTTACAACCCTGCCTTTTTCAGCTAGTTGAAATGTTTTGTTAGGTAAAGCCATTGAAAATTTGAAAGCTGCAAAAAACAAAAACAAAATTGTAGTTGTCGTAATTCTTTTTAAAATTATATTAAATTAAGTCGTTATGTTCTGAATTGATATATGGTAAAATAATTTTGTTAAAATTGTTGTGCCTGCTTGACAAGAATTCTTTGTGTCACCCCAATGTATGTGACAATTATTCATGTAAAACATATCTTTCTAAAAACAAGTAGTTGGACAAATATATATTTATATTTTCTGTGTCTTTGGTAAATGAGGTTAAATGCAAACTTTGAAATGAGATGAGAGAAGCCATAATTGGGCAATGTGGTATCGTAGATTTGTGGTGATAAAGGCAGTTTAGCCTATATAATTTACAGTATGAACTTTTTTTTCCCCCAAGCCTCACTTTCTACTTCAAAATATAAGGACTGGGTCTTGCAAAGACTTACACATGTGCTAACTTGCTCAGTGGCACTACTCTTAATTTTAAGAATGGTGCCTACATCTTTGTTGGGTTATGGTTAAATGACCTAACTTTCAGGATCAAGCTCGTGTAAGCCTTATTTACACTGACTTGGGGAAAAATCATGCTAGTATTTTTCTAGACCATGATTATCTAGAAAGATGTTTGCATTGTTTCCAAACAGTGTATAAATTCAAGAGCCATTAATTCACTGGTACTGTTTATTTTGAGCAGACCTATGCCAACAGCTAAAGGTGGATTTTTACTTTTTTTTTTTTTTTTTTTAAAATTTGTAACTCGCTTTTCAGACTGTATGATTTGATAGAAGAATGATAAATTTGCAATAGTAAATCAAATACAGTAACTAGGACTATAAGAACACTGCAGAAAATTCAGAAAAATTGAAGAGTTTTCATTCATAACTTGTGCATTTTTGGTAGGCAAATACACTCTCCTGGATTACTTGATGCATTTGTTAGACGATGACCAGTTTGCAGTTCTGTACAATACTTTATTTTAATAAGATCCTAAATAAAACCTCTGTCTAAAGAAAATATACACGCACTTCAGAAAAAATGCAGGCAGATATCTTTGATAAAGTATTTCCTTTTTTTATGTATTTGTAAACTAATCAGCTGTCTCATTTAATTGATGGAAGCTTGTTGCCCAGTTACGTAGGTGTATATAGTCTGAGGGTGATCTTAATATTCATTGAGCCAGAGTGTCTATCACTCCTTTAAACTGCTCTTTGGCAGCATAAAGAGGCAGAAGACAGCAGAAATGGTGCCCCCTCTTCATAAGGGGAATTCTGGTTGACAAAAGCTGCTAGAATGGCTCTAGTAATTCTACAAAGCTTCGTCTTAAAACATTTGCAGTGAAATTCATTGGATTAATACAATATGCAAAATTTTCAAGCTTTTATATTAAGATCTACTGAATATTTAGTTACTTATTTTTGTTTGTTTTATAGTTATTTTATGCATTCCAAGATGACCGTTACCTTTACATGGTGATGGAATATATGCCTGGTGGGGACCTTGTGAATTTAATGAGCAACTATGATGTTCCTGAGAAATGGGCAAGATTTTATACTGCAGAAGTTGTTCTTGCGTTGGATGCAATTCACTCAATGGGCTTTATTCACAGGTGCATATATAATTATAGTTAAACTAGAACTATATTAATCTTTACTTTGTCAGAATGTCTTTATAAGAATTACTTAATCTGTTTTTAAATTGTTGCTGGTATTATTACTACATGGTTATTCCCCTAGATACCTTCAAAATTTCTTAGCGTGAGAAAATGCCAACCTGAGATGATAATTTTCAAGATAAGATATTTTCAGCAAATTGACAGTACTTGAGTATTCTGTTCTCTGCCTGAGTTTGGGATTTCTGGGATTTGCCCACTCTACAGATGATAGAAATGAAACCAAGATGGATCTAATAATCTATCCCAAGCCTTTGTACTAAAATTTTTAGTTTGGTTTCTTTCCTGAGTAGCGAAAGCATATGGATAATAATAGTATTTGATAGTGTCCACTACTAGGTGCTATTATTTATTAGATGTGTTGTAGTAGTGCCTAGAGATCAGGGCTAAGCACTGTACAAACACCTAGTAAGGGATAGTCCCTGTGACAATTTGTTTACAATTTAAAGGAACAAGAAGACAAAGGGTAAGAGGGGAAACAGAGTCACAGAGTGATTTTACTTCAGGTTGCAGAGCAGGTCTCTGACAGGAATAGAATTTAGATTGGGACTCAGGAGACTCAATGCCCTAATCCACTGGACCACGCCACAATATTTGCATTAGAATATATCTCTAATGACATCTAATCAATTCTCACGGTAAGGGACTGATAGGATTGAATGAATCTGAAGATTAGGTACAAGCTTTCTATATTTGTTCTACTTCATGAGTGATCCACTCCAGTAGATTTAATTTAGTTTTGTCTCCAAAGAGAGATGTGAGAAAAGGATACAAATATGAGAGCGATACAGAGAGAATATAGATAGATTGGTAAATGAAGTAGCTCTTTCAGCCTCTTACTAATGAGGTAACATTGAAAGAGCAAGTCATGGAAAGGAAGAATACTATCTGCAACTATTGCAATTATTTTTCAACTCCCTAGACATGTATTTCTGCCTACGTTTGTTAGTTGTGGCACGGGAACAAAAAACTAACATATACCACACTTCTGTTCATAGTCCTCATCTCTGATTTTTATCCATCCCTTCTGATTTGGAATATCAGAGTGGCTAGATATAATACACCAATTTTAATTGCCCTTTTTTCCCCCTAAAGAGAACTCAATCATCATTGGTTGATACAGAAATCAAAAATGGCTACATAATCAGTGAGAGGCTTGTCTTAGTAAATTACATATCTCTAAAGCCCTGCAAATCTGCAGATATCCGCTTTATATCCGTGGATGTGGATACATATATATATCTTTATTTCTCATTTTTGTTATGATTAAAAACAGCAGAATGTTATAGTTCTATTTTACTAGACTATTAATCAAAATAGAGTTGAAATAAAACCCCAAAACCACTAAACAAAGGAATATTAGCATATTAACTTTCTTTTCAACTAAAGCAATCTTAAATACAATTTTTCTGCTGTATAATAAAAACAGCATAAATTTAATCGAATTATTTTTAATTAAATATGTATAGTGAATTTCATTGTGAAGGATCCCAAAATACTTTGCGTGCTGTATACATTTAAGAATCACTTACCCATATCTGAAATATAATCAGATCTGGGGTAGATTATAATAGCTATTCTGTGGTTAGCATTTGTGTAAAGTTTTTGGATTTTTATTTAATTGGGAACTGAAGAATAATTGCTCCAGCTGAAAATATAAGGGTAATTTTAGGTTGGGACAATGTAAATAGCCAAATTGCAATTTGGCCAGGAGGTCAGGATTAACACTTTTATATTCTGCAAAAAGGACTACTGCAAGAGTCAGATGTTGGTAGGATGAATATTATACATAATTAATAATTAGCCATATCAAACAATCAAAATCAGTTCCCATTATATAAAAGTGCATGTGTGTTGCCAAAGTTAGAAAGTTAAACCACAGAGGAAGCTGCTAACAGTATTCATAGGTAGGTGGTTGAAGTTACAGATTTGTTTTTGATTAGAGTAGACTCTTTTTTTTCTTTTGGATTAGTTTATTTAAATTTAAGAAGTGAATAGAGAAGAGAGAAAGTGAGGAAGATTACTTTTCCGTTCCAAACAATGAACAAAAAAACAGACAGCAGCTGAAGATTCTCTGTTCTAGAAAACCTAGTGTGTGTAATGAATTTCAAAGTTCTTCAAATGCTTGTCCATATATATTCCACTAGTGGTGTGCATCTTCCCCATGCACTTAAATTTAAAATCTTTTGGCCAGCAGTGCATTTTGGGGGCCACACCTGTGTCATGAGTGTCTCATGCCTCCAACTGAAGATGCAAAGGCTGGGGCATCCCCAGCTCTCTTGGTTCCTTCTCACCACCTGTGACTGGAAGTTGGAATTGCAGCATCCAAGCTTCTTCATGCACAGAATGGCATATTCTTTGTTATGTAAATAATTGTACTGAGATTAATCCAGTGCAGAAGGACATTTTCATTAGGAAGGGATATGAGGAACTTGAGTTTGAAGGGTAATACCCGGGTTCTTGAACTGAACCTACATCTACTGAGTCTCAGTTCAGTGCCTTAATGAGAAGACCATACTTACTGATATTGGAAATTTGGGGGGTAATTTGACTGAGAGTTTGAAACATTGGAATGGGGTAAAAGGAACACTTGCATTTTTTTGAAGTGTCTTCTTGCCAGCTTAAGTGTCTTAGTCTCTTCTTGTCATGTCACATCAGAAAAATAGTTCTTTTCTTGTTTTGTTAAGTGAAACTAATTTGTCAAATTATGTATAATGCAATATTTTTCAGAGATGTGAAGCCTGATAATATGCTGCTGGATAAAGCTGGTCATTTAAAACTAGCAGATTTTGGTACTTGTATGAAGATGAATAAGGTTGGTATATTTAAACCTTGAATCTAGCACTGATATTTGAGGAGAGCATCCAGTGGATATTGTTCTTTGGGATGCCATCTGCTATTGATTGACTTTCTCAAGTGCTTAGCACTGTTGTGTTTGAGCACCTCACATCTGTTAACAAATTTAGCCTCACAGCATCCCTATGAATTAGGGAGATGTTGTTATATCAGTTTTACAGATGGGATATTGAAGCATTAAGAGATTAAGTGCCTTTCAGTCACATAGGAATTCTGTGGCAGAGACATAAAAGGAACCTAAGTGTCCTGGTACTAACCTCATTATCTCCAGACTGATTCTTGCCTGCATATTTATACCTGCCTCTGGAAATTTCCATTACATGCGTCTGACGAAGTGGGCATTCACCCACGAAAGCTTATGCTCCAATACATCTGTTAGTCTTTAAGGTGCCATAGGACTCTTTGTTGCTTTTTACAGATCCAGACTAACACGGCTACCCCTCTGATACATGTATTTAGTGACGCATTTCATTTTACACTATGGAGCTGATTCAATGTCCACGGTAGCCTTTACATGGACTTTAATGGAATATGGATCAGGCCCAGAGTGGCAGTATTCCTATTGATCATTTAAAAAAAGTTACTTATGATTGCCATCTAGCAGCCTGATCCCAAATTGAGAAGAAAAGATTGATTTTGCTGCAACCTTTTCAGTGTAAAGAATCAGGTTATTGAAGGACTTGTTGGTAGAAAACCAGTGCAATGAGAAACGTGAAAAGGAGCTCTTTTTAATTTGATGGATGCATTTATATCTGCTAATGTGCTACTCAAAGCTCTGAAGAATCAAATCCATATTGTTCCTTAGAAAAATCTGAGGTCATGCCAGTGTCTCAGTGGTTGCAGACTAACTATCTCCTTCATGTCTTCGGTTATCGTGTTACTGAAGTAAAAAAATAAAAAATAAAAAAAAAGAGCTGAAGCAGTTTGTCTCATTTCTCTGTGATGAAACAATCAGTATCCAAAGTTGCTGTGCCCTTTATGTGCTTATTTGCCATAACTTCACTCAGCAAAAATGTTTATGTAGAGCAACCAGGTGAAAGACATCTCAGAATTATTCTATTGGAATATGTCCTTGTGAGGCCATAAAATAAATGATTTCCGAAGCAAGTTGGCAAGCACTATAACAAAAAATTTGCTGGTCCCCACACAGTGTTGTGATTGGTTTCTGTCAGACAATACTGCATACATGAACATATACTGGGGGAAAAATCTTGAAATAGGTGATCCTTGATAGATCACATGTAACTGATAAGCACATCTGTTAAATCTTTTCAGGAATGCTTGAATGAAGAACTTTGTCTAGCTGCTTTATAATAAATAAATAAGTCACTAAGAGCTCCTTCAAATAAAGCCAGACTTGGGCAGTATGTGTGGGCAGTTCCTCGTAACTGCCTCAAATGGCTTTAGAAGGAGTATCCTAGGCATGAATTTGGACCTATATGTTAAGCTTAATTATGATTAGACCTGGAACAGTTAAGTAATGATGAATTTTGATGAAGAAAGGTGTTATCCTTGTATGCCCCTAATTTGTCAGTTCTTTCTCCAGTGGCACAAGCGGCCTTAGGACATTCCTTCCAACCCTTATCCCTTATGCAGTTTGTCTATTTAGGATTTCGAGTTTTAGTATCATTTAGTTTTTTGTGTTACTGTGGATTTTTTCAGAGCCGTTTAATAGTTATTTAATAGCATTAAAATATATCTTCGGCAGATCTGGAGTTATGTGCTGCATTTAAAAGATATTTTTAGAATGATAAAATGCCCACCTCAGACCAACATTTTCAGAGTCTCCATTGTTTAGGAAAGGAGTGTTCATCTAGATGATAAATATTCCCTTCAAATGTTGTGTAATTCCCATTCTAAATATTTCAGCCTTACTGTTTTGTTTTCTTTGTAGGAAGGTATGGTACGATGTGATACAGCTGTTGGAACACCGGATTATATTTCTCCTGAAGTATTAAAATCCCAGGGTGGTGATGGTTACTATGGACAAGAATGTGACTGGTGGTCAGTTGGGGTCTTTTTGTATGAAATGCTTGTTGGTGAGTAACAAGATCATTAATGTTTTATGAGTAAAATTAATTGCACTTACTACTTGACTTTGTTAAAATCACATTATGATGTTTCTCATGTACTTAAATTCATAATTATCTTGCTTTACTGGTTGACAGTAATTGTAGTATTTACAAAAAAAAGTTTGTGCTGTACAGAGGCATCAGCAATATTATATCAGTGGGCTTTTGTGGGTTAGTGTTAATTTTGTTTTTAAGTTAAAGGAACTTGCTTCTGATTTATTGCTTTATTCCCCTCACTAGATACTGCTAAAACTTCCCTGCCAGATACAATTGATCAAAAGGTTTTCTTTTTTTTTCCCGCTTGTGAAATGTACAAAAATGCATCAAGTGTCAGGTATTTTGAAAGATGTTTTGCGAGGAAGTCTAGTTCGGATGATCCTATAAGATCTCAATTCACCTTGCCTCCCATTTCAGATGAAACAAGTTGAATTATTTGCTGTATTAATACACCGGTATATTATTCAAAAACAGAATATAAAAATTCCACCATATGGCACTTACTGTAACTTGGCCCAGTGTTGCTGACTCCGTCCTTTGGTTATGGTTATGAGAGACCATTTTTTTTAAACTGGGCAAACAAATTAAATTCACTTTCTCTTTCTCTTTACAAGCATATACCCATCTATGTGCTGTTCATCACAGACTAAGGAAAAAAGGAGAGCCCCCCTTGTTAAAATATTGTCAGCACTTCAGTGGTGGACACTGTAGAAACATTTAAGACTTCTCTCCTGAAGTCTTATTGAACATGAAGCACCCTAACAATCCTGTTTGATTTGAATAAAATGAATTGGCCCAAAATGTCCTTTTCACTAAATGGGATGCCTATATTAATAAGACTTACATTATTGTGGTTAATGATGCACCCAACTCAACAACATCTGAGCATATATATGCAACTATAATTATATATCAGTCATTTTTCCTGTAATAGATTGTAGCAGTAGCCACCCACCAAAATTACTACTTACACCCAAATCGAGCAAATAATTGAGCAAATAAATTAACCTTAAGTCATTGCTAGGTCAACTAACTCAGTCACTGGTGGACTGAGAGAAAGAAGGAATTCCATAGTCGAGGTTCCAACAGCAAGAATTGACCATACTTGAACCTTCTTTAGAGCAGTTCGTAAACTGTGGTATGTGAGCTTGTTGACAGTGGTACCTGAACAACAACAAAATTTTGTTTCAATGCACAGTTGCCACATGCACTGCAGTGTGTCAGAAAACATCCTAGAAGCAAAATGTACTCTCCTGTCTGTTTTCAGCCATAAAGGTGAATAACATTCACTCACCATGCAAGCATGGTGGTTTTATTTAGTGGTATGTTGTACGCTGTGGCTGTGCAGGTAGGTGTTGTACTCTAATCTGGTGCACAGTTGGCTGGGTTTGTTTTAAGACTAACCTCCTGCTTGCATTGGGCCTCATAGGTTGAGTTACTAAGGTAAACTTGTGAAGTTCCATATCAGTCCAACTAGAGCACCTCTTATTTCAAAAGATGGTTGCATACATGACAGGTTCAGAGTGGCTGCAAAACCTGCAGCCACAGGGAGCCCTGAGACCAAAAGGCTGTCATGCAGGAATTTGCTGTAGAGCAGGAGCTCCCACTGTACTCCCTGGCCTTCAGACACTGCAGCCTAGCCCTTGCAAAACTGCAAGGCAGGAGACACATGAAAAATTCCCTCATCTCTCTGCAGGGAAGTTGGGAGGTGAGGGTGGTTAGTTGGGTCTGTGGATAAAAGCCTAGCTATATAGAACTAAGGTGAGTTGCCTGGTTCTTCAGAAGCAGAACAGCTGGCTGGCTGCAAATTTGAGTCTCCTCCCACGAGGGGAGACTATTGTGTAATTTGTTCAGCATTGCAGGTATCCAGGGGCACTGCTGGCGGCGGGGGTGGGGATGCTGCTGAGGAGAAGAGACCTCCTGTACCTGAACCTGCATGGCTCTCAAATAAAGCTCCCATTCTTCTTTGAGTACTTGCTCATGTCCGTTCCATGGTAGGTGTGCGTGTGCCACATGCACAGTTGCCGGAGATTATTTTTCCCTTAGTGGTATCCGTAGGACCAGCACTAATGCCCCCCTGTAGCCACACACACGTGCCAGGATAAGGGGCGCTGCTGGATCCGCACCCTTCCAGTTCCTTCTTACCACCCGTGACAGTTGCTTGGAATGACCTTGCTCTTGCAAGGCTTTCCCAGTGGTTTGGACTCTGTAGTCTATTCTATATAGTTTTTGTAGTTAGTGTTTTTAGTTATAAGCTAATATTAGTGTATGTAGTGTAAATAGCAGTCCCAGTCAACAAGGGATGTTGGCCCAGGGACTGGGCATGCCCCGGTCCTCAGGCTTCAAGCCATGTACCTCCTGCGGCGAGCCCATGCCAATGAGTGATCTGCATTCGAGCTGTCTAAAGTGCCTTGGGGGAAGCTCACATTAAGGAGATCTTCAGAGGTTTCAGACTGCATTCACAAAGATAGGGACATTTGGTCTGAAGGCTTTGCTCATGGAGGCAGCCCTCAGACTGTCCTTGGAGTCATGCCGCTCGGAATCGCTGCCAAGCACTTCAGCCTCTAGTGCTTTTCCTGGCGCTCCACTGGCACTGGGCTTTTCCTGGTGCCGTTCTCCATTGCTGGTGCTGAGGAAGAAGCATAAGAAACAGTGCACTGAGAGAGGGCACTCTCTTGTGCCAAAGAGGGACAAGCAGAGAGCAGCTGATGCAGTGAGACCGGTGCCGGGCCACTTGTCTTCCCTAGAGCCACGGTCGGCTCTGGCGACTCTGGCTAGGGCACCGAGCCCAGTCTGGGACTCATCTCCGACTCCTGGGATTGATTGTGGCACTTTGTGCCTGCGAGCCCCCTCGACTCTGGAGGACTTCCAGGCTGCAAAGGATTTGATGTCCCTCCTGATACCGCCCACCCCCCAAAGCCCCTTGCCAGCCAGGGCTACCAGGGATAGTGGGTTTAAGAGGTGGGGAGTTCCATTGCGACAGCAACCAACGCGGCACCTCCCAGAAGAAAGCCCTCCATTGTCTTGCCACAGTGGTCCCCAACCCGGCGCCAGTCACTAATTTCCTGGCACCACCTGGAGGCAGAAGTGGGTATGGCTCTGCCATGGTCTCCAAGAGAAGAGTCCTCTTCAGAATCTGAGGGGGAATCCTTCACCCTGCCGTAAAAGTATCGGTACCCAACTTATGCACTGGACTTCAGTAAAGGCACCGCAGCTGGTGCTTGGCCCCTGAGCCATTGGCCAGTGCACTGGCAATATTGGAACCTGTGGTCACACTTTGTGGTGTCCAAGAGATGAGCCACTGTTTCATTCCAACCGGCACCGGACCCCAGCACCTAGGTCACTGAAGTAGCCCAAATGGAGGTGGTGCAAGTGGAGGAGGAAGGACCAGCCCCTCCTATAGTGCTAGCCTCTTACTTGTCATCTCCGGATGAGGCGGTCGCAGGTCCTAGTAACCAGTTTCTGCCAGATGACTGCAGGGCCCATCAAGAGCTCCTGAAACAGGACGCCACAAACTTGGAGCTGGAAGCTGAGGAGCTAAAAGAGTCCATGCACAGCCTGATCGATATGCTGGCTGCAGGGGATCCCTCCAGAATGGCCCTGCCAGTCAATGAGGTAGTGTTGGGGCCGGTAAGGAAGCTATGGCAGACCCCTTAGTCTCTGCCCCCTACCTCCAAAAAGGGCAGAGACGAAGTACTACGTACTGGCCAATGGGTTTGAATACGTGTACTCACATTCCCCCTCCCCCGGGGTCACTGGTGGTGTCAGCCTCAAATGAATGGGACCCCAAGAGCCCCACCCTCAAAGAATAAAGAGGCTAAGAGGCTGGATCTGTTCAGGCAAAAGGTTTATTCCACGGGTAGCCTCTAGCTTCATATCTCTAACCAGCAGGCATTGTTGGGGAGGTACGATTTTAACCTGTGGGACTCAGTGGTCAAGTTTAGGGACTCCGTGCAGCTGGAGTCAAGGCAGGAGTTCATGGTCATTCTGGAGGAAGACAAGATGGTGCCTAGGGTCTCCCTCTAGGCAGCTCTGGATGCAGCTGACTCAGCGGCCACAACGATTGCATCAGTGGTCATCATGAGGCGCTGTTTATGGCTCCAGTCATTGGGCCTCTTGCATGAGGTGCAGCAGTCTGCCTAGGGTACCTCCCTCTTTGAGGGTACCTCCTTGTTCTCCAAACAGACAGACTCCAAGCTTTGCGGCCTCAAAGACTGAAGGGCCATGCTTTACTCCTGAGGCCTCCAGGAAGCATTTCAGGCCTCAACAGCCTTCGAAGTTTTCAGGGCCACCCAGGTGGGAATCCTATAAAAGGAAAGGTTTATAAACATAGTCAGTCCCTGCCTTCTACCTCAGCTTCCCAGTCAGGCTCAAGTAGATACCCCAATGGGACCAGGCAGGCCTTTTGAAGGCACGCCTGAGGACGACATACCAGACTTGATTCAGGATCCACCCCCCATTTTGTTTTTGGACTGCCTTCCGCCCTGTGTGGTCCTACATAACATTGGACTGTTGGGTGCCCAGTACTGCAACAGTTGGTTACATACTGCAGTTTTCATCCACCCCTCCACCCCATCCCTCCAACCCTGTCCCTCTTCAGGGACCCTTCTTACGAGAAGCATCTCATCCAGGAGGTACAAGCCCTCCTGTGTCTAGGGGCTGTAGAGGAACTTCCTCGAGACTTGAGCAGGAAGGGGTTTTACTCCTGATTTTTCCTAATCCCGAATGCCAAAGGGGGCCTACGACCCATCCTGGACCTGCATTGTCTCAACAAATATCTCAAGAAATTGAAGTTTGGCATGGTCTCCCTGGCCTCCATCATTCCCTCCCTGAATCCAGGAAAATGGTACGTCACCCTCGATTTAAAGGACACTTATTTCCACACATGTTCCAGGCAAGGTTGTTCAGGTCTTGACAAACAACATGGCCTCAATGTTTTACATCAACAAGCAAGGGGGATCTTGATCCTCAGATATGTGTCAGGAGGCCCTCCAACTGTGGGCCTTCTGCATGAAGCACGCTATTCATCTCGAGGCATCGCACCTCCCGGGAGACTGGAATGCGTTGGCAGATCACCTTAGCAGGTCCTTTTCTTCTCTCCACGAGTAGTCTTTTCACCCAGAGGTTGCCAGTGTTATCTTCCAGAAGTGGGGGACTCTTCAGGTGGACCTGTTTGTCACCAGACAGAACAGGAAATGCCACTGGTTCTGTTCTGTGCACAGGCTCAGCAAGGGCTCCCTTTCTGATGCCTTCCTGCTCTCGTGGGCAGATGGCCTGCTGTACACCTTCCCACCGATCCCCTGGATTCACAAGGTCCTCTAAAGATCAAGAGGGACAAGGCAAAGGTTATCATGATATCTCCACCAGCATTGGTTCGGCATCCTTCTGGACCTCTCAGTGGCAGCTCCACTAGCACTCCCACCCTGTCCAGACTTGATTTTGGAAGACCACGGCTGATTGTTTCACCCAAACCTTGCTTCCCTGTACCTGATGGCCCATGGCTGCTGTGTTGCTGAACCCTGAGGAGCAGGACTGCTCGAATCAGGTTCCGCAAGTCTTGCTAGGTAGCAGAAAGCCAAGTAGGTAGTCCTGGTGGAAGGTCCAGTGGAAACATTTCTCTTGTTGGACCTCCAAATGGAATCGTTCTCCATCTCAGTCTTCCCTGCCGTCCATCTTGGAGTATCTGGTCCACCTGAAACATCAAGGTCTGGTTCTATCATCTGTTAATGTTCACATCGCAGCCATCTCAGCCTTCCAACCTTCAGTACAGGGAAGATCAGTCTTCTCCCACAAGCTGTTGGTTAGGTTCCTCAAGGACTTGGAAGGCTCTGCACGCAGGCTCGCAACCTGATTTTCCTATGGGACTTAAACCTGGTCCTATTAAAGCTCACAGGGCCCCCTTCAAACTGTTGGCATCTTATTCCTTACTGCTCCTGTCGGGAGAAGGTTGCCTTCCTAGTGTTGATCACTTCAGCCAGAAAGGTCTCAGAGATCAAAGCCCTGACATCAGAATCCCCTTATACGATGCTCTCCAAGGACAAGGTCCAGGTGCACCCCCACCTGGCTTTCCTTCCAAAGGTGATGTCACAATTCCATAACAACCAGAACATTTTTCTGCCAGTCTTCTTTCCAAAGCCCTACAGACCTGATGAGGAACATCTGCTGTATACATTTTAGATGTTAGGTGGGTCTGGTCTTCTATATTGAGAGGACTAAGCCCTTTCGCAAGTCTACAGAACTTTGTGTAGCAGCAGTGAAAAGGATGAAAGGACTACCGGTGTCATCCCAAAGAATCTCATCCTGGATAACTGCCTGCATCCGAGCTTGCTGTGAGCAGGTGAAAGTTCCGCCTCCGACCATCGTGATCACTCATTTCATGAGAGCCCAGGCTTTGTCAGTAGTATTCCTCACGCAGATACCAATCCAGGACATCTGCAGAGCTGCAACATGGTTGTCTGTTCATACCTTCACATACCACTACATCTTCACCCAACAGGCCCGTGACGATGCCAGTTTTGGGAGAGCAATGTTGCAATCAGCATGTCCATGAACTCTGAGCCCGCGGATATTGCTTGTGAGTAACCTAGTGTGGAATGGACGTGAGGAAGCACTCAGAAGAAGAAAAAATGGTTGTTAACCTTTCATAACTGTTGTTCTTCAAGATGTGTTTCTCATGTCCATTCCATGACCTGCCCTCTTATCCCTCTATCGGAGTTACCGGCAAGAAGGAACTGAGAGATTGCAGAGCCCCGGTATGTTTGCAGGGCTATAGGGGGCCCTAGGGCTGGTCCCATGGATACTACTAAGGGGAAAAAATCTCTGGCAACTGTGCATGTGGGGATGCACACACCTAGCATGGAATGGACATGAGCAACACATCTCAAAGAACAACAGTTACGAAAGGTTAGTAACTGTTTTGTTTTTTTTCCTCCAGCCAAGATTTCCCCCCACTTGTCTACCTTCCCTTTTAGGTCTCCCTCCCCACAATTTTCTCCAAGAGCTATTCAAAATGTTGTATTTTTCTTGGTTTCCGTTTTGTAAAAATGGAAGCAAGGCGAACTCTGGCTCGTGTTCAACAATAATCCAGATAACAGCAGGAATGTCAAAGTTGAATTAGAAACATTAAAAAGTCAAGCCATTCAATGAAGTTCAGCTGCATACCAACATATATCAAGACATCTTGTGACAAATTTGTTTCTTGTAATTTGAGTAATACGAAAGACTGATAATGGCATCTTCATTGTGTTTCCTTTTGACGCATTATCTGAAAACCTTAGATGTTTTAGAAAGATGCTATAATCAAACGTTTTAGGCTTCCTTAGGCATTTGTTTTACCATAAAGCCTAGAAATACTTATTTTATACCTATTAAGATTTAAAATGAATGTGCACAAAAAATAGAAACTTGCATGTTGTATGTCATACATCAAGTTTTTAAGAAAGTGGTATACTATAGAACTCAAATATGGGGACTATTAGTAGATATTTTTATTAAAGTTTTAAAAAGAAGACTGAATGCACTTTTAATTGTGTATTGGCACTGAGAGTCTTCAAAGGCACAGCGTATAATAAAGAAATAAATGTTCTAAATTAAAACTTCCAGTACTTTTGATATTTATATTATATTAAGATATTTAATTTTTGTACTGCTGTTTCTTCAGGTGATACACCTTTTTATGCAGATTCCTTGGTTGGAACATATAGTAAGATTATGAACCATAAGAATTCTCTTACCTTCCCTGATGATAATGATATCTCTAAAGATGCAAAAAACCTTATGTGTGCCTTCCTAACTGACAGGTAAAATAGCCCAAAGTTTTATTCAGAATTTTAAATAAGTTTTTGTTAATGACATTTTCTCCTCTTGTGACCAGAACAAACAAAAAGCATTTTGTGTATGCATGATTTTCTAGTGGTATTCTAAACAGTTGAACAGTAACAGAAACACCCATTGTTTTGACCTTTTATGTAATATATTTCTGCTACCATATAGACACTGTCACAGTTGTGGGGTCAGCTGTACTTTCTGTCCTTTTTCTTGTCTTTGCGTGCACCTCCATCAGGTTTACTTATTTCCATTTTTTTCTTCCCTTCTCCCATCCCCCGCTCCTCTTTACCTTTCTTGGGCTGGAATCTCACAATTTTTCCCCTTATTTGACCCGGACACCTGTAAACTACTGTGAGTATTCTAGCTGCATATCACCCTATAGGTCTGACGAGGTTTCAGGCATCTGCATTTCCTCTGTTTGGGAACCAGTGACTAGTCATATTGACCAAAGCCTTAAAACAAACTTTTTTTATTTATTACTTGGAACAAAACATTACAGAAAAAAAGATTTTAAAACAGACAGCTTGCATATTTAGTCTCATCTAATCTTATGCTTTACTACAAGCTTAGATAGACTTTTCCTTTAAGTTACAAGAACACAACTCACATTCTCTTAAAAAGTAAGGATCCTCTGTGTGTCTCATTCTGATTCCCCAGGTAATAAGGGCAGTGGAACCAGAGAACTTTGTTGGTTCAGTTGCTAGCATCTCAAATGATATTCCACTCTCATCAGTAGGGCCTGCAAATAAGAATAGACTTGAAATATCAATTTGGCATTCATATCTTAACTTCACATTTAATTCACAGTTTTTACACATGAGAAGTGTTTTTCATCATGGGAACTTTTGAATTGCTAATTTGATGTAGCACTTGCTACATTGTTAAATGGAAGTTGCTTGATTTTAGAATAAATTAATAACCCTTAAAACAGAATTACATGCTTACCTGGGAACTACCTGGTAATTGAAAATGTTGATGGGAACTCAATCTCTTAAATTCCATAAAAAGACAATATGGAAAAGTTAATTCTGGACATTTCAAATTCAGTTTTTCTCGTGGGATTTTGAGAGCATGGGGTTAAGTGTTATCCAGGCTCCAACAGTGTAAGCAAATATCTAGGTGAGTATGTGGCAAGAGAAGAGAGAATCCTAATTTTTAAATACAGTTTTCTCTTCTTCAGTACTTTTTAGATTATTATAAAGGTAACATTTTTTATTTTATGGTAGTCTGGTGGACTACCAAAAATCTAATTGTAATAATTAATTTCAATTTTAGAGTGAACATTTTATGTGGAGTTACCAGTACACCTCTACCCCGATATAACGCTGTTCTCGGGAACCAAAAAATCTTATCGCATTATAGGTGAAACCACGTTATATTGAACTTGCTTTGATCCGCCAGAGTGTGCAGCCCCGCTCCCCCCCCGGAGCACTGCTTTACCGCGTTATATCCGAATTCGTGTTATATCGGGTCGCGTTAAATCGGTGTAGAGGTGTATTAGTTTTTATTCTGGCCTTTACCTCTACCCTAATATTATTGTCTCTTTCTCTTCCTCCCATTTCATCTTTCTCAGTCTGTTTTTTCCTTGTCTTGCCTTTTCCTTTTCCCTCTCCCCTCTTTTTATTGCTTTATTTTTTTACCTGTCGCTTTCATTTTCTTTTGCATTGTAGCCAAGTAGCAGTGGTCTGCACGTGGAAATGCTACATAGGAAAATTGACTGAGTCATATGGAGCAGTATTATTGATTGATTGGTTCTGCTCTTTCTGAAAGTGTGTGAATGCTGTCAGTGAATACTATACTATTTATATCGTAAAGAACTTAGACAAGAGATAATGGGTCTAATTTTCCTCTCTCGTACAGCAAATTAAACTGACTTTTATGGAGTTACTGATTTACAACAGTGGAAGTCAGAGGATAATTGGACCCAGTTTCTTAAATTAGAGGGACATTTCTTTAGCTGTGAATTTGATAGCGCAAGGCCTTGTCTACACTTAAAAATTTATTTTGTATGACCAAAGGTGTGAATTTAAATGAATATAATTATATCAGTATAACATCTCCTTTTAGGTACTCTAATTGTAGAATAAGAGTGGAGTTGGTTAGTTAGTTGATTTGTTTGTTTAGCTTATGTCACTTAGCTTATGTCACTTATAACTGTGGCATTTTTGGTTTAAGCTAAACCAAAAATGCCACAGTTATAGCTGAATGAGAGAGGGAGAGGGAGCAGATGAATATATCAGTATAACTGATAAAACTTCCCTGTGGTAGACAAGACCTAAGACCAGATTGCGTTATGGGATGAAGGGAAGAAACCTCATGAACCTACTTGTACTGGTATAGGGCATTCTATGTCACAACTTCAGAGAAACTAGAGCTTTTATATTGCCCTTAGTTGGCAGATGTAAACTCTCACCTCTAACTCTAGGATATTTGAATCAATCTTGTTAACAGAAAGGAAAAAATCTTACACAGTATTTTATTTTTTTTAAACATTTGTTTATAGGGAAGTGAGGTTAGGACGAAATGGTGTAGAAGAAATCAAGCGACACCTCTTCTTCAAAAATGATCAGTGGGCTTGGGAAACTCTTCGAGACAGTAAGTAGTTCTTTGTACTGAAGCAGTAATATTCTCTTATTTACAATGTGCATCAGCAAAAGTGATGTCACCACTCTGTTCTAATGGAAGGCTTTTCTCTCTTTAAATATTGAATTAATGTAATTAACATTTTGTTCTATACTTTGCTAAGAGGCAAGTCTGTTTAGATTTCCCACACAGTTCAGGATTTTCTTCAGTCTATTTTTTTTCTTTTAGCAAATGCTGAGACCAGATCAGTTTCTTAGCAATATTGTCTTCTGTATTTATTATGCCTTAATTGATGATGATGATATAAGCTTTTGGAAGGTAAGTGACAATAGACAGTTTTGATATGGAATTAAAGTGTCTTAGAAGTTTGTGGTACAGAATGTATCTGCCTGCTTGCTTATTGGTTTGAGTCATAGAAAGCATATTATCACTGTGCTTCAGGAACTGTATTTTTTTTAAGAACAATGTTTGTCTGAGTTATCTGAAAAATTCTCCTCTGGGTCATCACACAGTGGAGATCAACTGGTAACTTCTTGCTAACCATGTCTCAGTTTGAAAGTCTGGGAGCTGGAGGCAAAGTTTTCAGTATAGGGTCACTCAACTCTGGCATTCTTTCTCCCACTGGTCTGATAAAACCACGTCAGTTTAACTTTTAGAACACAGTATAAAGCCTGTTTATTCAGTTTTATGCCTGGGAGGATAGTGCTGTGGCTTATTTATTTTTATAGCTTGATTCAGGGTTGAATCTCTTCATCTTTATTAAAAATAAAGACTATTTAAATTTTTTCATAAACCGAACTCACAAGGATAAAGCTTTTTGTATAAGGTAAGAACTGTGCAGTCACACTTTTTCAGAGTGGATGGTATCCGGTCATACTCATCAAGCCTAAGGAGGCAGATTTTTACAGAGAGGGTAATGGCTGGTAATGATGTAGTTGGTGTTCTTTGAGTATATGTCTGTGTGGATCCCATTGTAGGTGTGCATGCATCTCGTGCCCAAGATTGGATTCTTTTGAATAGCAATGTCCATTGGAACGGTGCATGCGCCTGAGCCTCTTTATGCTCTGGTGTGAGGGCATAAAGGGTGGAGCGGTTTTGAGCCTTACTATCTCTGGCTTGTATCTAAACTACCATTAACTTTTACTTCTGTGATCAGTTCTTCTGTTAGAACAAGCTCTAACACAGTTTTCCCCAAGTTGGGTGCAACACTTTCTGAGTTAGGAAATTGTCATCTATAATGTTTAGAAATTCCAAAAATGTTTTAGTATTGGCACATGTCACTCAAATTGAAGGACCCACGTGATCACCCAGGGTTTTTTTCCCTTTCCACATTATAGACAGGTGCTCAAGGAAGTGGTCATATACTGTTCCCTAGTGTGATTTGGTGGTCTGTAGCAGACACAAACTAATAGCTCATCTTATGCTTTATCTGTTAGGACATTGATCCATAAGCATTCAAGATCATTTTCTTCTAAGTTGTTAGTGACTTGGAAACAAGTAATGCCATTTTTGATGTAGAGAGACACCCCGCACCCCCCTTTGCCCACTCTATACTTCCTAAATAGATTACAACCTTTGATTTTTAACATCCCGTCATGTGAATCATCACACCAGATTTAAGTAATACCAACTAGATCAAATGTATGCTCATAAACAATTCCTCTTGTTTGCTACCAGGCGCCTAGTGTTAGTGTGTAGGCAATTCAAGAATTTCTTCTCTTCATGTCCTTTGGGCTCTTGATTAAATCTGTTCTCAGCATCTTGATTTTGTGCTAACAAAGTGCTCGTATCTTCCCCCTTTTTACCCCCAAACTTTTGAGGGTTGCGGCCCCCCCACCAATCCGCACCTCCCTGCCGAGGCCAGGAGTGGGGCCGTGGCTCGGGGAGACAACGACAACATGGACAGAGGTAAGGGAGCCGAGGCTGGGGCCACAGCTGGAGGTGGGCTTGGGCTGGCAGTGGGGCCGCGGCCAGGAATCTCTGCCACAGAAGGTGGGCTAATGTTACACAAAACCAAAGCCCTCAACCCTATACCACTTACCTAATCAGTGATTCACTTCCACGATCTTCGGTCTTCCTTAGTTCCTTTCCTACGAGTGGTCTCGGAGAATATCGCTTGGGGATTCTTCTTCAGCATGCTTCTGAGTTCCCTGAAGTCATCTACTGTCTGCAAGATATCCTGGCAATGTAGTGTAATTAATGCTGATATGAACCATTACTAACGGATCCTTTCCTGTCTACTTGACTTTCCCAGTGCACTATCCTGTTGTCCACCTGTCCCTTGCAGAATGTTTTTTCAGTTCTTCTGAGTATTAAGTCTCCAACAAGAATCGGTCTTCCTTGGATGGTTGAAGAACTCTTTGAGGGTAAGCCTGATTTACTTACATGTTAGGCCATCCATCCATCCACATACTCTGTATGTCTCTCCATGAAGCAGCCCTTATGGCTTCAGGCATATTACATGAGGTACAGGCTACTATGGAGAATGTGCCCTACAAGGGAAGTTAGCTCATCATCCCGAGAACAGATGAAGCACTCTATTTCCTCAAGGGCCGTGATGTGATTCCTGGGGATCTATGCACTGGCTTCATATAGAAAGCCATACAAATACCAGCCACAACAAAAGCAGAAGGCCCCACCCTGTTCCTGCAGTTGACAACACTGGAGCCAATCTGGGACTTGTCCCCAACTTTGGGAACTGCCTTGCCCCTTTCCACCATGCCAGGGCGGCCATCACAGCTGATAAATGGACATTAGACATTGCCTAAGGCTAGCCTATACATTTCCAATGCATGCCTCCTATCCACCCCCTTTCCCTGTTCCTCTTCAGGGACTCTTCTCATGAGAGCCTGTTAAAGGGTGTGTCTAGGAGCTGTAGGAGACATACTGCAAGAGTACAGGGGAAGAAGCTTCTACTCCTGATATGTTCTTATCCTGAAGACAGGGGTTTTTTGTTCTGTCATAGACCTGAGGAGAATGAACAAATACAAAGGCTGCCTCAGATTCAGGATGGTAACATTTTTTGATTCCATCACTTCATGCTCAAGAACGGTGTGCAACTCTTGACTGGCAAGATGCAGATTTCCGTGTAGCCTCCATCTGGTCCACATGTAGTAGTTACGGTTCACATTGGGGTCCCAGACATAACCAGCACAAGGTACTACTATTTGGACTCTCCACAATCTGAAAGTCTTCACAAAGTGCCTATCAGTAATAGCGACATGTCTCAGAAGAAGGGGCATATACTCTTTCCCTTACCTGGACAGTTGGCTGATCAAGGGAACATCCCAGCAGGAGATGGCATAATTCCAGGCTTGCTGCCATCTCCCTGTTATCTCAGTTGAGCATCCTGGTGAACTACAAAAAATCATTTCTCTTGCCACTGTAGATGATCGAGTTCATAGGAGCCTTTGACTCCAGGTTGATGAAGGTGTACCTTCTTGAAGATAGTGTACTTTCCTGTCAGTGCAATCGCTAGGGCTCAAGAAAGAATGAAACCTGACCACATGTGTCTGGGACTGCTAGGTCATATGTCGGTGTGCACATATATGATGCCACTTGCCAGATTTCACCTGTGACTGCTCTGACTTTGCCTCATATTGGTCTGTTTCCCTGGGGAGCACCAAATGAGCAAGAAGGTCATGGTTCCACCTCCCATGGTTGCTGAACTGGGGTGGTGGAAGGAATCCACAAACGTGTGGAAGGGTACTGTTCTTCTGCCATCTCTCCGACAAGGACTTTAATCATGGATGCTTCAGGGACAGGTTGGGGAGCCAACCTGGGTCACTTACAAATGCAAAGGTCCTAGTCTCCAGAAAACATGGAGCTCCACATCAACGTTCTGAAGCTCAGAGCCATCAGGGTAGCACATATATTTCTGGACTGCCTGCACCTGAACTTCCAACACTATGGACAGCTACTGTCATGACCCACTGTCTCAAACTTGGGTCTGCAGGATTCCTAGGTATGGTCACGCTCCATGACAGTCTTATCTGTTCTTCACAATTCCACAGTGCACATCCTGGCAGATGACACCTCTGCCATGCGCTGGATAAACAAGCCAGGAAGCATAAGTTTCTCTCTCCTCTGTCTGGAAGATATGAAACCCAATCAATGGTTCCACCCACACAAGTTAACCCCCATGGCTTTTCACTTCCCAGGAGTTAACTTTGCAGACTTCCTGACTAGACCATCTGTAATTTCTCTTGAGTGGTCACTACAGATGTACATCAGAGATCTAATATTCCTTTGTTACAGTATCTGTTTCCCCACCAATGATTAGAACTATTCCAGTCCATGCCTGAGTCTGGGCTTGATACCAGATGCCTTCCTCCTTCAGTAGTCCCAAGGCCTCCTATATGCCTTTCCACTGATTTTTTTTTTCTGATCTTCTGGGTGAGTTCCAAAATGAGGAGAAAAAGTCACTATTGTTCTCATAGATGGCCTGGTGGGGTAAGAACATGGATTCTGCTGCCAATGATAGAGGCCGTGGGTTCAAATCCCCATCTGGCTGTGGTAGGCGAGTGAAAATTGCTGTACTTAGAATCTATTAATGTAAGCTCCACACTGGCAGAGGCAGTTTTGGATGACAGATCTGTTGCAGATATACATTTAGTTGCTGGACTGCCTGCACCTGAACTTCCAACACTATGGACAGCTACTGTCCTGACCCACTGTCTCAAACTTGGGTCTGCAGGATTCCTAGGAATGGTCACGCTCCAAACCTCCACCTGGTAGCCTACTGACAACTGCTTACCTAGGATCCACGAAACCCAGCCCCAATTTGAGGCTCTGCCCCGAGGTCCTATTGGCGGAGTCCAAGAACTGCTGGCCATACTTAAGCCAACAGTAGGAACAGGAAGCTGTTTAAACAACTGAGCTCCACCCTGTCCCAGACTGTTTGCCTTGTGCTTCCTGCTCCCTTGGCTTGATTTTTTTTTTTTTTTGGCATCCTGACCCGGCTTGACTCCTGGCATCTGACTTGTGGTTCCTGATCTCCAATTTTTTCTCCAGCCTCTAACCTCCTAGTATCCTGAGCTGGCTTGACTTTGGTTCCTGACTCATGGTTCTGATCTCAAATTTGTCTCTGGCTTTTGATCTCCGTATCCTCACTTTTGACAGCTGTCTCATGACTGTGGACTCTGTCTCTGACCATTAGGTCTGGCTGCCCATGACCTGGTTATGACAGCTACTCTATCCAGACCCAAAGTCACTGCACCTGATTGTGTGGGTTATTGGCTGGTTGAATACCCCCAGACAAGGGCTGCTCTGTGCAGGTCCAGAAAATCCTGATACAAAACAGGTAAATGTCAACCAGAAAGACTTACTCTTCTAAATGGAAAACATTTTCAATATGGGCACATCAACATGGTCTGGATTCAGTTCAGGTCTTGATACTGGAGATCCTTGACTATCTGTTGTTCTGAAGGAGGCTGGCCTTTCATTCAGTTCTGTTAAGATCCACTTTGCAACAATTTTACTTTTCATTCACTGCTACAGTTCTCTCTTTTCTCATCTGACCGTATCAGAGTTCCTCCATGGGCTAATAAATACTTACCAACCGGCTGAAGAACTTATTCCTGCCTGGGAGCTCAACCACATTTTCCCCATCCTAATGGAAGCTCTCAGAATGCTCCTGACAACAACATACGCTTAAGTTAATCTTCCTCGTGGCTATTACTTTGGCCAGAAGAGTGTGTGAGCTTCTGGCACTTATGCTGAGCTTCACTATACAACACCCCACAGAGACAAGATGATACAAGACCTCATCTGAAATTCATTCCCGAGGTGGACTCAGATTTTCATCTAAACCAATCAATTAACCTACTTTTCTTCTTCCTGAAACCATACTAGGCACTGGGAGAAAAGCAATTGCCTATACAGTAGAACATCAGAGTTACAAACTCCTCGGGAATGGAGGTTATTCGTAACTCTAAAATGTTCGTAACTTTGAACAAAATATTGTGTGTTTTTTTTCAAAAGTTTACAACTGAACATTGACTTAATATAGCTTTGAAACTTGACTATGCACAAGAAAAATACTGCTTTCCTTTTTATTTTAGTAGTTTAGGTTTAACACAGTATTTGCCTTTTTTGTTGATTTATTTATTTCCCTTTCTCTCTGCTGCTGCCTGATTGTGTACTTCCAGTTCCAAATGAGATGTATGGTTGATGGGTTAGTTTGTAACTCTGGTGTTCGTAACTCTGAGGTTCTACTGTACTAGTTGTGTCCAGGATTTCGCTTTATTATGTTGACAGGACCAAACTGTTCAGACTGTCACCCAGTCTATTTCGCATTATAGCCAGGCACTCTAAAAGTCAGGCCATCTCATCAAGATGACTTTCAAAATGGATACACAAAGAATCTCATCATGTTGCCAGTTGGTGGTGTACCTCTTCCATCGTAGATGAGACTCACTCCACCAAAGGTCAGGCTGCATCATTGCCTGTATCAGAAAATTACCAGTATCAGAAATCTGCAAAGCAATGATGTAGAGTAACCCACTGACTTCTGTTAGACATTTTTTGCTTGGACTTAGGTGGTAGAGCAGTAGTAAAATCATTATTCAAGTGATTTAGCTGGAACTCCTCATTACCACCTTCCCAGGGGGATACTGCTTGCCAGTTGCTTACCTAGAATCCACGCTGACACGTACTCAAAAAAGAAAGCAAGGTTATTTACTCTCCAGTAATTGTGATTCTTTGAGATGTTGTTGGCAGCGTGGATCCAATGACCTGCGGGAGCTCCCTTCCCATTTCTGCTTTTTTGAGCCTTCAGTTATCACAGGTTTTGAATTGTGGGGGAACTGAGGGAGGGTGTTGGCTGGCCCACTCTTTATGCCCTCATATGGGGGTATAAGTACAGACACCCCCTCCCCCACTTTGCTATTCAGAAGAATCCAATTGCTCACGTATGCGCACCTACAGTGGGATCTGCAATGACTTACAACTTCTTGAAGAATCAGAGTTACTGAAGGATAAGTAACCATTCTTTTCTTTGCTGCTGGTGCAAATAGTTGCCCACAGAGGGGCTTGTGGCAAGACCAAAGGATGCATGATTATAAGGTATGAGAGTAACTATATCTCCTTGTTGTACAAATAGTTTTAAAAACAATTAAAAAAACCCTATAACTTTGATTTGAACCCAAAATAAACTTTTTTTCTTGAAAGAACAAGAACAGTGTAAGTGCATGTGATAAATGAATAGATTTGAATGCAAAAATTGCCTGATGAAAGCCAGCACAAAAGTTCTTCAGAGTTATTGAAAATATGGGGCTTTTGTTTGTACCTTAACCTCTTGGAGAATTGAGGGCCAGATTCTCTGCTGCCCCAGAATTTAGATCCAGTCAGACAGTGGGGAATGCTCTAAACTTTCCTTGCTTGTAGTCTCCAGACTTTGTCAGTTGGGGATTGGGCAGGATGTGCTCTGATCAAGCCCCCTTCTGTCTCTGTATGCCCTCTGAGCCATGGCTGAGTAGCGAAGGATGGGTAGTGCAGGAACCAAGTATGCTTGCTCTGTTCCAACTGAGAACTCATCAACACCAACAGAATTCTCAGCTGGTCAAATCTGGCTTCTTTCTGCCTCTTTCACTGCCAGAGTGGCACAAAGGAGCCAGAACACACACTGGTCTTCACTTCAGTTTTTGTTTCTGAACTCCTCTATTGACTTTTCATGAAGTGCATGGTTAACTTGATAGGATCATGGCCTCAATGTAGATCTATGTATTACATAGCACAAAAGTGAACTGCTGTACCTGCACAGTGTCCTACTGAATCTGCATTGCCCCATATACATAGGATCAGGACCTAAATTTGTTCAGATGATCGCTGTCACATCTGTCCAGCTACTGACACACACAAATCCCTAAATGTCAAGTCATGACTATTTAAAATAACACAAAAATTGACTGTAACAGAAGGGACAATTCTAATATTGATCATAACATTTACATTTATTTGTCATTTGGCTGGTTGTCATTTGAGTGGAATGATAATTTTATTTTATTCTAGCTGTAGCACCAGTTGTTCCTGATTTAAGTAGTGATATTGACACTAGTAACTTCGATGATTTGGAAGAAGACAAGGGAGAGGAAGAAACATTCCCTATACCAAAAGCATTTGTTGGCAACCAGCTACCTTTTGTAGGATTTACATACTACAGCAACCATCGGTAAGTATGGAGAAAACAAACTAATGTTATGTACTATCACCAAGTTTTGTATTTTTGATTCTTATTTACATATTTTTGTGTGTGTACACATGCGCGTGCGCTCGCTCTCTCTCACAGACACTCTCACTCTCACTGTATATTTACCTAATAGGCTGTTTAAAAGTGAAAAATTCTAGTGTCATCATTTGTGGCATCTACATGAAAATGGTTCCACCGCTAGACGTTAGAGTTTTAAAATGTTACAGGAATTTTGTAGTCGGGTCAGCGTTACTGATTCCGAATTAACCATATGTATAATGACATTACAGTAATTCGTCTTAGAAAGTGTACTAGGCACCTACTAAATGGAATCTCATACAAAGGGTTAAAGAGTAGTTTGAGTGTGTCTGTGCAAGGCCAGAAGGATGAGGGCAAAACCAGTGATCCCAAGGCAATGAAAAGCCAAATGCAGCTGAAACTCACTTTATCCCCAGGATGATGTTCCTTGACTTTGCTTGGGGACTTTCTTTTAGATCAGTTTCTAGCTAATAGATATCTGATAAATTTAGTGTCTCCTCATGGCTTCTAGAAAGGATAAGGAAGTTTCTTGATCTCACTTGGCTGTTGTGAAGATAGTGGCTCCACTACTCCATTCTGCCTCTTAGTCTCTTTTTTCTTTTTTTTCTTTTAAGGTTCTTCCAAGCAGCAGCATGAAATTGACATGATTTTTATAATTTGCACTACTGCCCATGAGGTTTTAAATAACATCAGTTCAAACAGCATGTATTGCTATTTGTATGGTCAATACTATTCATTAGCATAGATTGTGTTGGTAGCAACAATGGTTAAAGGTTGCCCAACACCTTCTGTTATAAGTTCCTGTTTTCAGTTGCTTATAACTAGGGCTCCATGTCTGTCATGGAGGTCGTGGAAGTCACAGATTCCGTGACTTCCTGTGATCTCTGTGACTTCTCTAGCGGCCAGTGTGACTGACCCCAGAGCCACCCAAGCAGCTGTCCCTGGGACCAGCTGCTCAGGCAGCCCTGGGGACAGCCACACCAGCCGCTGCTGGAGCAGCCCTGGCCCCGGTGCCAGCTGCATCGGCTGCTGCTCTGGCAGCCCTTGGCAGCAGTTCTGGGGTGGCTGGCACCGGGGCTCCCCCCTCTGGTGGTAGCTGGAGCAGCCGCTGGCATCCCAGAGCTCCCTTCCCCAAGAGCCTTCCCCCCCAGATTAAATCAGGGGTATTATGGTATAAGTAATGAACAGGTCACGGGCTGTGATATTTGTTTGTTGCACATGACCTATCCATGACTTTTACTAAAAATACCCATGATTAAATTGTAACCTTACTTATAACTTTGCTGAACTTAGCTGTTGAGACTGATATTTTCCATGCTGGGTATCTGTTTTTTTTTTTTTTTTGACAGGTTCAGTAAAAAAAAAATCAGGTTAGCTGTTTGAGAATGACGGTAGGGAAAAATAAATTGTTTTGCCCTTGTTAAAGTATATTACGGAGAAGCTATAGTGCTTCTGTGCTTTGGAGCCGGGACTTGAAATTTGGCAGGTGACTCGCCTATGTGTCAGATATGTGCTTTTAGCTATCCCTATGGAAATCGGCCCAAATTTTGGATAAGTTATAAGCCTCTGAAAATAACAATTTGGACATACTCGCTAGTGGTTTGTTAGAGGCTGGCAGCTAAATTCTCTAAAGATTCCATCTGTGCTGAGCATGCTCTATCCCCACAAAGCGCTCGTGGGTATGTACCAACCAAGCTATTCATGTGTCATCTGCACAGTGACTGAGCATGCTTACTCCTGGGGCTGCAGGAGCTGAGAACAACTTTCCCTGCAGTTGTTCTTCCTGGCAGACAGGGACCACTGTAGTGTGAGGCACAAAAATTAAAAATAGGGAGGCTGTCTCTCCTGTCCTCCCACTGTCCCTTTGCTGGTGCCCAAGCATTCTGGAGGAAACTGTCTGACTTGAATTTAAAGGGGTGAGGAGTAAAGTGGGGGCAGGAGTAGCCTGGGGTTGATAGGATAATACTGAGACAGGTGCTGGGGATGGTAGAAGATGGGAATAAGGATCGGAGTCGAGATGGGGAGGAATAGGGAGAAGAGGAGGGGATGGGGTAGAGTGGGTAGCAACCGAAGAGAACAGAAGATGGAAGCCCGAGTGGAGGAATACAGGGTGGACGGGATCAGAATAATGTATAAACACTAGAGCACATACTTGTTGAGAACCTGGAATAGAACCCAGGATTCCTGAGTTGCAGCAACTCCTTAATGTGGTTTTCAGACATTCTTGTTTAACATTTCAGAAGAGCTGAGCGCTAAACAATATTAACTGAAATTAAAAAGCAACAAATTCAAAACTGAAGAAAGGAAATACTTTACGTAACGCACAATTAACCTGTGTAACTCAGTGCTACAAGATGTTATTGAGGCCAGGAGCTTCGGTTTGATCAAGTGCCCTTTGAAGTCCGTGGGAATCTTTTCATTGTCTGTAGTGGGCTTTGGATCAGATCCTTAGTGTAGGAGTCAGAAAAATAGGATTCAGAAAAAGCTAATAATTTCTTATTATAATGCTATCCCTAGATATACTAGATAGAATAAAAATGTATCAGGTGTATAAACCCACTTGCTTCAGAGTATAAGCCAACCATTGACTGACTGATGGCGGGCACCTCCCACTGCCACAAATAAGTTATTTCATTATAGGTATTTTACACCTTCCTTTGACTCATCTGTTTCTGGCCATTGTTTCGGTAGGATACACAACTAAATGGACCATTGGTCTGATCCAGTAAGTTTTAAGGGATAGTACCCTACAATCTACTTTATACTCCCTTTTTAAAAATAATCTTGTAGCTATTCCTTCAGGTTCTAAATGTTCTGTTTTTAATTCAACAACTCCCTTCCTGTGGAATAAAAAACACACACACAAGAAGCACTGCTTTGCTATTGAAGTATTGCCATCCAGTCATCCAAGGGAACACAAACCATATATATACCCTGTTCATTGTTTTGCATTGTTGCTAGAAGCACCAATGATATTGTTGTAAAATAAGAATGTCTTACATTTGTTTTCTAATACAGTATTACAAACAAAAGGACAAATTTTGGCCGTCTCTGCACACATTTGTATAAGGGGGAGAAGGTGCTCAAGAGCCTGTCATCACACCTATGAAGGACGCAGCCTCAGTGTTGCATGCAGCACTCTAAGTGCAGGGAGGTTGAGATGGCTAGCACTGACCATCCCAAGGGGAGTGTGATTAGGCAGGGTCATAGCCCTATATCTTACATACTTGATAGTACTCCAGATGTTGGCATTGGGGAAAGCACATACTATACCTCTTAAGTATGTAATAAGTGTGACTTCTGAACATGCTTCCCCAAAGTTTCTGGAATCATTCTGCCTTTTACAGGTATATAGCACTTATAGACACCATTGCTTAGCTGCTACTTTCTCTGTACTCCCTTTCCCATCATGGCTTTGGCTGTAGTTATCACACTGGAATCCAATGTACCCAAAAAGCCACATTAACTCCTGTACCTTTGAAGTTGCAGGAAAAATCATTATTTGTCAAATGGAAAAAGTAGGGCAATAAATATATTTTTAATCTTCAAGGATGAGATTTTGGGTTGTTTCACAGACCTCAAAGTCCAGTGGAAGGAAGGGCTAAGGTTACTTTAAGCCACCTTTGCACCCTCCTGATTCTGGACTACCTCGAGGGGCCAAAGTGGCCCCAGGTGTAAGTTAGGCAGCTTAATTTATGGGAGCTGTCTGACTTATGGGAGCTTGTTATTTTCTGCCTATGAGTAATAATGTTCCCTAAAATCTCCTCAGTACTCTGTGCTGCAGCCTTGCTTCCAGCACATCCATCCCACCCCTAGTCCTGCCCCAGACACTCTCCTTACATCAGGATGTGGGAAGGAGTCCTCCGAAGAGAGTCTGTGGCTGTCTTTCGCATGTTAAGCTGCTTCTTCCTTAAATGGATCCAGGGCTTGTGGAACCCCTTTATGCCATTCTGTCTCCTTTACTCAAGCATAAAAATGTAGGAGTTGGGAGCAGAATCTTATCCCAAGCTTTTAAGATAATCAGCAAATTATTTGCATTTATTTATCTGACTTTCATAATCCATGACAAATACGCATACGCAGTCATGGCAAATAAACATATGTATCTACTTGGTACGCCGAATAGATACCATTACATAAAACAGGAGTACGGTTAAAGAGCCCTGTGCTGCAAGTCCCTCCATCTATGGAACTCCTGTTGACTTCACTGGGGGTTCCATGCCCATAACCTCTGCAGAGTTGACGTCTATGGTACTACTCCTGTGAGAAAAATTAAGCACATGAGTAAATGTGTGCAAGATCAGAGCCCAAGAGAGTGTTGAACCATGGAAAGCAAAACTTTTAAGTTATTAAAAAAGGAAGTTCTTTTTTCCTAGAAGAAGAATGGTAAAAACTGCAGATTTCTACTTAATGTAAGACAAATTATACAATGAACTGTATGTTTTTTTATTAAATGTGTTTACATCTTATAATATAATAAACGCAAGCACTAAAAATCTGTCCTGATAGCTGCCTTGGCTAGCTGGATCTCACAGAGATTGGAATCTTTGGAGATCCTTTTAAACTAGCTTACTCTGTTTTCTCTTTCTCAGAACCTTGCTTTTTAAACATTTTTAATTAAATATTTTGTTATAGGTATTTATCTGCCTCCGCAGAAAATTCAAATGACAACAGAACAAGTTCCAGTATAGATAAAAGCCTGGTATGTATTTCAATATTAGTTTTGTGTAAACTGACAGTGGGTACACTGCACATTGAAATACTGAAGTAATTTTAAATGACATGAAACTGCTTTAGTGCTTTGAAATATGGAAAATCAGTACATTTTTTTAATTGTTTAGACTGACATAGCTATAAGATCTGGCAGGAAAACAGAATTTCAATTCTGAAAAATAAATCGATATTTTTAGAAGAAAATTATCCTGAATAGGAATGAAAAATGCTGAAATCTCAGTATTTTCACTGAATTGAAATTCCACAATATTTAGTTTTAAGAAACACCAAAATATTTCCATAATAGAAAAGTTTTGGTTTTCCAAAATAAAATATGCTCCCTAAAAGCCAGATCTGCAGTAGCATGCCAGGCAGACCGCCACAGAGCTAGGAAGACAGGCAGCCTGTGACTAGGCCAGCCAGGGAACAGGAGGCTGCTCAGCTCCCCAGAGAGCCAGCAAGTGCGGGGTCTAGGGATCTCTGGGAGCCCAACAGCCTGCTGAGGAGCTGAGAGCTTAGAAACCCTGAAACTTCTGGCAGCACTGGAAGAATCAGGGAGCCTGGATGCTCTGGACACCATTGGGAGCCCCAGCTCCAGGACAGCTTGCCTGAGAGCTGCAGTTCTCAAGCTCCCCATGAGACAGGATGCTGAGGAACAGGGATCCTCAGATCCCAAGCTCCCTGCCAGGTGACCTGTTGAGGAACCTCGGAAGCCCCAGGTTCCAGAGAGATGGTTTGGTGGGAGAAGGAAATCAGGCAGGTTCCCATTGAATTTTTTGGCAAAATCAACCCATTTTAAAGATTTGAAGATTTAAAATTGGCATTTTCTGATGGAAAATGTTTTATCAGAAAATTTTCTGGCTGGCTCTAATAGCTATTGTGCTAGGCTTGGATGCAACTAGCAGTATCCATGACTTGATTCTATTGTCCATTCCATTAAGCAGATATCAATGACTGTTCTGTTACTATTTATTATTAATTAGTTTGTAATACAAGGTGTTTTCTAAACAGAGGAAGAAAAGGAAGGCTATACAGTTGAATGAAAGGGGAAAAAAGTGCAACTGCAGAAATTGCTCTGTTTTATGCCTATTTTTGATGACTCTATATAGTTTGTTCTTAAATACTGTATTACCTACAGAAATATTTTAAAGGGCAGAAGAACCAAGTGTATATCTTGTATTGGCTTAACATAATTCAGTAAGTGTTTGATTTGGAGGATGCTGATTCTTTGTGCCCATTTTGACTGGTGTCTTCTTTCTTGTATGTTACTTCACCTGCCTTTGGTTGGTGATGTGAGAAAATAAGAATTTTAGGCCAGATTTTCAGGTATTTAGGTGCCGAAAGGTGCAGACAGGCACCTAGAGAGATTTTCAAAAGTGCCTGAGCAGGCACCTGAGTTGCTTAGTCATTGTGAAAATTCCCTAGAAGAGCTCTTTGTAGCTTGAAAACTTGTCTCTTCCACCAACTGAAGTTGGTCCAATAAAAGATCTTAACTTACCCACCTTGTCTCGCTAATATCCTGGGAGAAACACCGCTATAACAACACTGCAAACAAAGTTAAGTAAATGTAACACAAGATACTGCCTAGGTATACAGTTCTGCAAGGTGTTGAGTGCCTTGTGGGAGGAATTGAGTGCCTGCAATTTCCAGGGAACACATTGGGTTTAGAGGATCTTCAGGACCTCATAGGATTGGTCCTAAGATTCTAGAGAGAGAAGAAATCCATAGTCCTTTAATTGAAATTCTGAATCTATTTGGAAGTATGAATTAACTTTACTCGTTTATTTTGATTTAACACTTGAAATTCAATGCCCATCAGAGTCTAAAAGTTAAGTTCAAAAAGATTCACAAATTCTTTTGCAGTGGGTCTTCAGCCTTCTCACAACTCAGGAGGTAGAACCGGACATGTTAAGTCATTGTCAGGGAGGGTGTGGCCAGCCCCTAAAGATCCCAGAGAGTTTTTTGTTCTTGCCTTCTCTACTGTAGGCAGATTTCTCCAGACTCTCCCTACCTAGGGTTACCATACGTCCGGATTATCCTGGACATGTCTGGATTTTTGGGTTTTAAACAGCCGTCTGGGAGGACTTTGTAAAAATCTAAAAAGGTCCAAGATTTTCCTCTCAATGCAGAGCGTGACGCGGCTGACAGAGTGGCCGGGCAGGATTGAGCCGCTCGCATCGGGGCCTCCAGCAGCCAGAGCCCTATCCCTGCTCCCCCCTCCCCTGCAGCCTCAGCACGCCGTGCTGGCAGCGCTCTGGGGGGGCAGGGCTGTGTGCTCCGCGGGGGAGCGCAGCAACGTGTCTGGCTCCACGTGGAGCCAGACACACTAGTCTGAGCAGCACGGTAATGGGGTTGGGGGTTGGAGAAGGGGCAGTGGGTCCCAGGGGGGCAGTCAGGGGACAGGGAGCAAGGGCTGTTGGATGGGTCGGGAGTTCTGGGGGGGGGCCTGTCAGGGGGCGGGAGTGTGGAGAGGGGTCAGGGCAGTCAGGGAGCAGGGGGCGGTTAGATGGGTCAGGAGTTCTGGGGGGGGGGCCGGGCA